GAAGGCCAGCTGGACAGGAGTCTAGTAACCAAGTGCTTCCAGAAGCTGCACAGAGACTGGGAGGGGAGAATGAGACACCTACCCTTGCACTCAGGTGGGTCTGTCCACTTCCCACTTAGACATGTCACTTCTGCATTCCCGAAGAGGCCCAAAGGGTGCCTGCATTCATAATGTGCTGTGTCCCTATGTCGATAGTTAGCCTTCTGTTTTGGTATAAAGGCATTTTGCACTGTGGGAGGGCTGCCACAGGAGAGATTTGAATAAAGAGAAAAATGGATGTCTAATGCAGCAATAATTTAGATGCAATTCTGACTAAAAACCTTCATAAAGTTACATGGAAGATTGAATATAAAAGGCAAAGCAAATTTTTTTTTGGTAAGAGTTAAGCTTCTATATCTTAAGTTTCTTTCCAGTCCTCTCTCTAAGGTTAATAGAGATTTTTAGGCCAATGAAAATGATGATTATGCTGTGCAAAAGTTTTTAGTTTCACGTAGTCCTATTTGTTTATTTTTTTCTTTTGTTTCCCTTGCTTGAGGAGATATATCAGAAAAGATCGTGCTGGGAGAAATGTCTGAGATTTGACTGCCTATGATTTCTTCTAGGATTTTTATGGTTTCACACCTTACATTTAAGTCTTTAATCCATTTTGAGTTTATTATTGTTTTTGGTGTAAGAAGGTGGTCCAATTTCATTTTTCTGCTTGTATCTGTCCAATTTTCCCACCACCAATTATTAACCGATGCCACCCCAATAACTTCAAGAAAAGAATTTTAAGACGTAATAGAAAAAAAGAGAAAAAGATCGTTTTTCTGAACATTTTCCTTGAAGTTTAGTAAACCAAACATCAATTATTTAAATTCAAAATGAATTTGTAAACCCTCAGTACTCATAATCAATCCCTTATCAGGCCCCTCCCCCTGGCTGGCCTGATTGCCGAGATGGGGGCGGAGAGACTGGACCCCACCCATGCATGAATTCGTGTACCGGGCCTCTAGTTTAAAATAAACATGTGAGTCCCTTGACAATTACTCTGACACCCAACATTCAGTAATGTTACCTTTGTTTGCTACCACCAAAATGCATCCCAGACCTGTCCTCTGTTCTGCATCGCTTCAGCCATCACTCTGGCCCAATCTCCACCTAAAGTTCTCCCCCTTCCTCAGTAGAATCCCTGATAGTTCCCAAGGATTATTTTGTTTTCAAGTCAATTCATTCAAATATTACAGACAGCCCTGGCCAGTTGGCTCAGTGGCCCACAGGACAAGGGTCCCTGTTTCAGTTCCCGGTCAAGGGCACATAATTTTTTTGTAGGTTGGATCCCATGCCCAAGTTGGGGCTTGTGTAGGAGGCAACCAGTCCATATGTCTCTCTCACATTGATGTTTCCCTGTGCCTCTCTTTCTCTCTCTCCCCCTTCTCCTCGCCTTCCATGCACTCTCTAAAGATCAATGGAAAAAATACGCTCCCGTGAGGATTAAAAAAAAATCAAAGACAAATGAAAAGGGGAAAAGTCCTTCCTAAAAAGGAAGTTAAATATTCAGGTCAGTTTCAACTCACCTTTTCCATGAGCCCAGGAGACCCACAGGGTGAGGATGACCTTGACTAGTAACAGCTTGGTGGGCTGCCCGGTGTGTGTTAGTGCAGATCTTCCAGCGCTGCTGTTTGGGGCTTAAATCTGCATCATGAGCCCTTACCAAGGGTGGCTCTGAATTTAAGTGATAGTATGGGGTAATTAGTTGAGGTCACTCGATAGATATCAAATTTCAAAGAGTTTTGCTAATGCCCTCAATTCCCATCAATGATTTCAATTCCCTAATTTGTTCTTGCCCAACTTTCCTTATAAAGTTAAAAATAGGCTCCAAGATTCTAATTTTTAAATTAATCACTTATTAAAAACGTGTGTGAGGTTCTATCTCAACCAGGAGATTCTCGTGGGAATAGCTCTGACTGCATGTCCCTGTGACATTTGTTCTCTCTTTGTTCTCACCCGACTGCAGTTTTTAGCGGTCTATGGCCACCACCCAGTGTGTCCACACAGTGTATGGTCCTGTCTGTAGGACAGCACTGATTTTTTTGTAAACTCACAACAGACCACCCCACCGAGACCAAGAATTCCGCACATTCTTGGCATTCAATGTTTTTCATATGGTTTGTTTTTAGAGAGAATCTGAGGCAGAGGGAGAGAGAGATAGAAACATCTACGATGAGCCCGGCCTGCGGACTGAGGGGTCCCAGGTTCGATTCCGGTCAAGGGCATGTACCTGGGTTGCGGGCACATCCCCAGTAGGGGATGTGCAGGAGGCAGCTGATCGATGTTTCTCTCTCATCGATGTTTCTAACTCTCTATCTCTCTCCCTTCCTCTCTGTGAAAAATCAATAAAATATATATAAAAGAAAAAAATCTACGATGAGAGAGAAACATCTATCTGCTGCCTCCTGCACGCCCCCTACTGGGGAATGAGCCCATTACCAGGCCATGTGCCCTGACCCTGAATGAACTGGTCCTCTTGGTGCATGGTATGATGTCCAACCAGCTGAGACACACTGGCTGGGTTGAGGCTCCTTTCATTTGAGAGAACAACATATTCGGAGGCTGCCACCGAGAAAATGGGAAGCGTAAAGTCTAGCCCTATTTGAGAACTAGTTTGGCTAATAAGCTTCTGCTCAAATTCAAATTGGAGACTAGTTATCACAGAGCTTCCATTGGACGGGACTTTAATTGGTTTTATGTGCTTTCAGAATAGGTTATGAGAAAATAAAAATTCAGTTGCTCTATCTACTTAGCATCAGGGAAATTGTTCATGGACCAGATATTTTAAGATTTGCAACTTTAAAATAACTGATTATTTTCGTCAAATAAAAGAGCCAAGTTTCAACTCTGTCAAACAGTTCAAACCCCGCAGATGGAAACAGGATGAAAACTGCCTTTCTTCCTCACAACAATCCTTCCTCAGTCCATGATTCAGGATGTAGTAATGAGGTTATTTCCACTTACTATTTGAATATATATTATCTATATAGGCATAGTTGTTAATCCTCACCAGAGGATATTTTTTCCATTGATTTTTAGAGAGAGTGGAAGGGAAGAGGGAGAGAGAGAGAGAGGGAGAGAGAGAGAGAGGGAGAGAGAGAGAGAGGGAGAGAGAGAGAGAGGGAGAGAGAGAGAGAGGGAGAGAGAGAGAGAGGGAGAGAGAGAGAGAGAGACATTGATTGCTTGTGTCCTGTACAAGTCTTGACTGGGATGGGGCTGGCACCTGCCACCCAGGTACACACCCTTGACCAGGAACGGAACCCCAGACCTTTTGGTCCTTGGGCCAAAGCTCTGACCACTGAACCACACCAGAAAGGACAATTTTAATGAATAATTTTTGATTGTACTATTTTCCCCAGTACATTCTAAGCTCACGTGCCGTGCTTTGTTTGACTGGTTAAACATCCAATTCAATAGGCAGAAAGCCACACCGTTACCTCCACTCAAGTTTATTGCTCTGTTGGCAAGTAGTCTAATCCCACGACGGTGAAGAATCATTGTCTTGGTACAAGTGTAAGTGATGATATGGTTGCGTTAACATCTTTGGGAGAAGATTAAGTTGAAAAGGAGGCTAACACATTGCCTTTATGTCCTTCGAAATATAGTGGAAAGAGCAGGAAATGCCAGAAGCCTGGCAAGCTTTCAGGCAGGAAGAGCAGTGGGTGGGACTGGCCACATATTTGAGGCCACAGGGCTTCCTCATTCACATCTGGGGAACTCCACTGTCCCTTCCCGACACACAGCTTGAAATGACTCCTCTGACGTCACCACCTTGCGTCCTGATTTGCACATAAATTGAATGATATTCCCTGTTTTTACATAATAGGTTTTGTTATCTTTCCCTTTTAACTGTATGTTCTTTTCATTCATGATTTCTTCTGATATTACACATGGATCTGAAGGAAGAAGAAATAATGAAAACAATAAATAACCTTTCCTTTTATAAAGAAATAAACCCTCAACCCAATGACTAGCTTAGGGGTTGAATTTATCGAAAGAGCTAATGTACATCATCAATGTGGGCCGAGTCTTGTTCTCAGCCCCGGTCTATGGGCCCCCACAGCTCCTCAGCAGGCAGCTGCTCCTCCTCACACACCAGGAAGCTGAGGGGACAGAAGGTCAGGCATAGCTGTCCAAGGTCACAGCGCTCACCAGGCGGACGATGAGCGTGGACCTGGCAGTGTGACCCCAGGGCCTTGGCTCTCTGTCTCTGGGATGTGGGGCATCCACAAGGTGACTTCCTGTCCAGAGGACATGGGAGCCTGCTCCATGGTGGCCATGGTTCTTCGTTGTCCACTTCCCACTCAACTGGCAGTGGCTACAAATGCTCCCAGTTTAGTTACATTTTGCTGGGTTAATCCATGTTTATATTTTTCTCTTATCCCCACAAAATGTGGAAAGAGAACCATAGAAAATCATAGACTTTCTAATAAACAATCTCCTATTAAAATACAACTATGTATATTTATACATAAATACATCTCTATATCTCTATATCCATCCATCCATCCATCCATCCATCCATCTAGCTACCCATATCCATTCATCATATCTATTTATCTATTATCTAATTATCTATATATTTATCTTCTATCTATCTATCTATCTGGCTAATCTTCTTCATTCTCTATGGTAAAGCTAGGCTGCATGGATGGAAGGATATACACCTAGAGAGGTTTTGAATATCAACATGATTATACACAAATTTTTATTCATTTTTTTCCATCACTATTTATTCCCCTTCTGCACTCTTCCAAATCCACCCACTCCCTTCCCATCCACAATCACTGCACTGTTGTCCATGACCATGAGTTCTCTCTCCTTTTTTAATAACCCACAGATGAGTGAAATCAATGGTTCAAATGTTTTCTGTCTGACTTATTTCACTTAGCATGCTATTCTTAAGGACTGTCCACGTTGTCACAAATGGCAGTATTTAATCTTTTCTTATGGCTTAGTAATATTCCATTATATATATGTCTTTTTCCAATCTTATATAAAATTTTCACGATATCATGGACTCCTATTTTTCTTCTCTTGACCCAAGTATTTTATATGCTAGTTTAGCCATCACTGTTATTGGTAATAGAAATAGCTAAAAAGTAAGTTCCAACACATCCCATTAACTATTATATGATGAAACATTATAACACATATGACTTCTTATATCCAAAAATTTTCAAATGTTTCTCAGTACATTCAGATGCTGTTTACATCCAAATATATATTATGTGGGTTCTACATACCTGTCAAAACACTTTTTCAGATCTTTCTGTCTTAACTACTCCAAGCAAAAATTTTTCTCTTTGCTTTAATATACCATATGTTTGTGTAATTTTTTACACAATGTTAGAGGTTGTCTTTGATGATCTTAAATGCTCTCTGCGTATTTCAATTCCAAGACTCAAATACAGTCTTAGCTCTGTCGCCGAACTGATTTGATGTCCCCAGATAATGAAAATTGCTTCCTATTCTAGGTTGTGGGAGCAGGTCTTGCTTGTGCTGGGAGACATGTGTTAGAC